TGTGATAGTAATGAAGGGACCACAAGATGACTTGTTAGTCGGGAGCTGACTGTAATGAGGGCCTCTCGGGGGATGACTTCGAGTCGACTCAAAAGTCACTTCGTTACAAGACACTTTTTGAGCCGACTCAAGAGCTGACTGCAACGAGGGCCTCTCGGGGGGTGCCTCATATTGTGCCTCTCCAGTAGCAAGTGACAACATCATCAGTCACTGTTCTTTTATGTGCCTCGTTTTTTGACAGCAGCTGCCGGCACATATTGTGCTTGTTTTTACTCTCTCGCTCCTGCTCCTTCCGCTTCCCCTTTTCTTTGCTGGTTTGTGGTTTCTTCTTCCTCTTTTCTGTCATTTGGTCAAAGAACACTTCGAGGTGCATCAAGATTTGGCAATTGAATAGCTCTGATTGTGTGACATATAGCTACGAGCAGGGCTCCAGATTGGTTTTGGGCCACCCTTAGTAATCAGGGTTCTATGTATAGTCAACCCTGATGTGTAGGGTAACTTTTCTGTTTGCCTGAAAAATGCAGGGTTAAAAAAATGTTAGTCTGTTTGGCCAGGGTGTTTTTGAAAACACGTTATATAAAATGCCAAAGTAGTACAGATTAGTAGTTAGTAGCTCAGTTGATTAGATTGCAAAGATTATCCGAATATCCGAGTCTCGTTGATGGGTGGAGTATTTTGCAGGGGCCCGAATGGTCGTTCGTCTCGCTATGGAGCTTTCGATATCATTCTATCTGGGATCGTACAGTGTTACAATCAGGGAAATATGTTCCTTACGCTGTTTTTCAAAGGGTACAAAAAAACTTGCACTTTCTGGCCTAGGGTAAAAAATCCAGTACCATGCCTGTGAAAGGGTAACTGAAAAAAAGCGGCCGCCAGTCAGTGCAAAAAGGGTATTTTACCCTGATAACGAGAGGCCTGGCTACGAGACATCTAGCTCACGGACCATGGTGGTGGGTGGGTGGGTGGTCTGTCTTGCATCAGTTCAAGTGAATGTGTCAATTAACATTTCACCTTGAGAAATCCTTACCGTACTAGAAAGGCATAGTGCCTGCTAGAAAGCCAGCGTAGCGGAAATGTGTTGGTAAAAACGAACAAGATAGAAATCTTGCATTGATCATTGAAAAGTAGAAAGATGACACAATGATAACTCAATGATGTTGAAGAAGTGACACAACAGGGTATATATGCATCCAGCTACCCCTCCCAGAATGGCCCATTCACACCAATAATGGTGTACCAATAATTGTACCCTCTACTCTCCAATAATGCTAGGCTCCAATAATTGTGGCCCCTACAATAATTGTCACAATTATTGTAGGACCTGGAAGCTTGTAAAGAGGACTACACTAAAACCAAACAGCACACTGGTATACATTATTTGTTATACTGTATTCGGATTTCCAACACTCCCCCTTGCTGTAGGTTTTAGTGAATTCGTTTTCCTTGGAGGGTAGGGTGGTCGAGAAGGTGTACCACCACAAGGTAGGGGTGCGTCCAAACCAAGCTAGGGTTTGGTGTTGGCCAAGCTGCTTGTCACTGTAGCACCTTTCCTTTCCCAACCTTCGGGCCTTCCAAACTCCAACCAAACCACATTCCTTCAAGTTTTTCATTCCCTCCTTCCAATCTCGACATTCTAGATCGAGATCTAGAGACTAGTGGCTGCTGCTGGGGAAATCGTAGCAGCTCCATGGCGAAATCTCCTCAAGACCATGGCGGAATGCGCGTATCGTCATGGCGGAATGCCCTTAGCGCATGCCGAATTTCCGAAACCGTAGTCTTTACGACATGCGATTGTCAGTGCAGCTGTCTTTTTCGCACGCCTCCTGTGCGACGACGCGAAACCGCAGTGGATGCGCGTCTGCGACGACTGAAGTTGCGTATGACGCGAAGCGTTAGCGGATAACGCATGGCGTACGGTTGGCGCGGAACTGCATTGGCGGGCGCACACTGCGCGCGATAGAAGCGACGATTTGACGTTCGTTAGCGGTTCACGATTTGCTGCGCGCCTACTGCATCATTTTCCTGTCCGCGCCTTCTGCATCTTCGCGTGATTCTCTCCTCCCCTGCTTTTCTTCCTCCGCATTTCTCTGTAAACCTTGTCTTTCTCCCCCTGCCTCATGCTGGGATTGGCACAAGGTTGTCCATGTCTTAAATCCACACCAAAGGGTGACCCCAAGTTCGCTCTGACTTCACCCATGTTTCCTTATGATGCTCCCCTTACACTCCAACCGACATACGGTAGCAGTCGGAGTTGCCGAACTCCATCAGCTAAAGAGTTGCGCATGCCGACGCACTCCAAGTATCCCGAACTCTGCACTCCATGTATGCAGAAATGTCCACTCCAAGTATGCAGTGTTGTGCACTCCAGGTATGCAGAAGTGTCCACACCAGGTATGCAGAAATACCTTCTCCCATTTATATTCTCCGTTCTTCCCTCGCGGTAGTGCCGTTCATCAGCAGTAACCAGTCGTACGATACCGCTCCAGCACGACGGATGACGACCGGCTGCATCCATTCTGCCTGCTCCCCCTGCCTTTTGGCAACCCTTGGTGAGTAGGTCTTCCCCTTATGCTTCTTGACTCCATGTCCCACTCCTATGCCACCAGACATACTCCACACCCCACCTCCCGCCACCCATGTGCTTGTAGTGATCCGCGTACACAGCTACAAGCACATGAGTGAGTGTGGAGTTAAGTGATGCCATGTTGTGCCGCACCGTTCGAGGTGGCCGCACAAGTGAGTACAACACCAGAATCCTTGACTTGATGATTGCCTTGACCAACCAGCAAATTGCAGGTAAGATGCTGCTTGCTTGGCTTGTCCACCTCATTTCCCACATCATCATTTTCCACGCCTTCTGAAATGGAAACACCAGTCACAGGTACGCCATCAGCTGTACCTCCGCTTCCATCAACTGCACTGACTTCATCAGCTGCATTAGCTCCAGGTAAGTCTTCTTTTGCATATTCTGCTCCTTCGCCTTCATGTCCTTCAATGGTCGAGAATGCAGGAACCGAATCCACTACGGACCTGTGTCCTCCTCTCCCTGAAGTCCACACCACACAGTGGGGTGAGACTTCATCCGTATCAACATCATGTGCCGGATTCCGCACGATGCAGGCTTTGTGCGCCAGGCGATATGTGACAGATGCATGTGCAGACTTGCCACTCGAGTGCATCCCAGGTGTGCGGAAATCCGTGCTCCCATGTGCGTCAATGTGCACACCAGGTGTGCGGAAAAGGGTAACCCCCTCACGATCAACCTGATGCGATGACGCGTCATAACGGGAATGTCCAGGATCATGGGCGGATGTAAGTGCATGCGCATATTGCACCACGAGCACTCCATCCACGTTCTTGGCAAGTCCAATCCGCACGTACTCCTCTCCATCAGTCATGGTGATCTCGGTGTCTCCATTAGTAATGGTATTGATGCGCGCTCCCTTTTTCAGCAGCTGACAATAGGAGAGCAGGTTGCTCTTCAGACCAGGTACGTAAAGGACTTCAGTGTAGCGAACCGTTGTCCCATCAGGTGCCATCGCTCTGATCGTTCCCGTCATCGTGCTGCTCAGCTCGCTCCCATTAGCGAGCTCTACTTAAACAAGTTCGTCCAGCTCTCTTAACTCTTCAAACCAGCGCTTATCCGAGGTCATGTGCTAGCTGCATCCACTATCCAGCATCCAAGATGATGCTTTAGCTGGTGGTAAGGTAGCTTGTGACGATCCCACCGTTGCAATGCACGTAACAGTACGTTGCTTGTCTTCCCCGGCTGCCTCTTGCTGTTTTGATGCATTGTTGTCACGCTTGGGGCTGCGACTCATTCGTGGGGAGAACGAGTGACTGTCGCCGGTGTGCAGTTTTGACCTTATGGTATGCGGTTCCCACCCTGGTGGTGACCAGCGAGGGGGTGCCTTGGTACACTTGAAGAAGGGGTGGCCGACCTCCTTGCAGTACCAACACACAAGAGATGAGCGACTTGCATCTCCATCCTTGCCATGCGTTTTCTCTCCAACGGACTCCTTCTTCCCGGTTTTGCTCTTAGTTGTTGGAGAAGGTGAGTGGTCTCCACGTGCTTGTCCAACCATGCGAGGTGGACGCCGATCACGTTTATCCTTCGTAATGAGGTCGTGATACCTCTGCTCTTGAATCATCATCCGCTGCAAGGTGAAGCTGTCCGTCATGTTGTGTAGCATTGCCGAGTGCCTCATCTCCTCCCAATGTGCCGATAGTCCGGTGAGCATATTTAAGGTGAATGTGTCCTCATCCACCATCTTCCCCGCAAGTGCTAACTTGTCCCGGATTGCCGTTGCGCGGTTGACATACTCTTCCACCCTCTCTTGACTCCCCATTTTCAGGTTGTCCAGCTCCTTCATGAGAGAGACCTTCGCCACCGAATCTTTGGCCTGGTAAGTATCCATTAAGTACTCCTATGCTTCATAAGCCGGACTGTAGGATTCCCAGAACATGTCCAGCTGTAGCTGAATTGTGGCGCTCACGTTGTGCAGTAGGACCCAAAAAGCGAGCGCCGCACGTTGTGAGTAATCTGCCTGTAGCATTTCCAGCCGCTCCATAGCGTCGTTAATGTCACCATCTCCCATGGTAACTGGATACTGCGGGGTCACAAAGAACTCCCACAGATTCGTGACGCGAGCATTCATACGAAACCGTAGTGCCCACTCCGGAAGTTCGAGCCATCAAACGGAGTAGTGGTGAACGCCTTGTCCACCGTTGCTCCCACCATTTTGCGTGACAGGCGTTCCTTGTCTTCTTCCGTGTATTCACGTGGAGCGGGGTCGAAGAGAGTAGGCACGGTTGACGGTCAAGGTAGCTGTACTGTGCGCAACATGTCCCCATTCTGTCCACCAAGTTGATGTTCCAGCACTTTCACTTGATCGCGTCGCATGACACCGCTTGACTGCATTCCGTATCCCATCCACCCCATGCTGTCCACATAGTGTGCGTCAATCGATCGACGTGGTGCACGCGGAGGTACGCCATAG